CCAGGTAGGCGGGAAAACAAAAGAAAGAAAAAAACACCAGGTAGGCACTAAGCCAGGTAGGCAGGAGGGTAACCAGGTTTGGCAGGAAAACAAAAGAAAGAAAGAAACACCAGGTAGGCACTAAGCCAGGTAGGCAGGAGGGTAGCTAGGTAGGCACGAAGCCATGTAGGCGGGAAAAACAAAAGAAAGAAAGAAATACCAGGTAGGCACGAAGCCAGGTAGGCAGGAGGGTAGCCAGGTAGGCACGAAGCCATGTAGGCAGGAAAACGAAAGAAAGAAAGAAACACCAGGTAGGCACGAAGCCAGGTAGGCAGGAGGGTAGCCAGGTAGGCAGGAAAACAAAAGAAAGAAAGAAACACCAGGTAGGCACGAAGCCAGGTAGGCAGGAGGGTAGCCAGGTAAGCACAAAGCCAGGTAGGCGGGAAAACAAAAGAAATAAAGAAACACCAGGTAGGCACGAAACCAGGTAGTCAGGAGGGTAGCCAGGTAGGCAGGAAAACAAAAGAAAGAAAGAAACACCAGGTAGGCATGAAGCCAGGTAGGCAAGAGGGTAGCCAGGTAAGAACAAAGCCAGGTAGGCGGGAAAACAAAAGAAAGAAAGAAACAACAGGTAGGCACTAAGCCAGGTAGGCAGGAGGGTAGCCAGGTAGCCAGGAAAACAAAAGAAAGAAAGAAACATCAGGTAGGCACGAAGCCAGGTAGGCAGGAGGGTAGCCAGGTAAGCACGAAGCCAGGTAGGCGGGAAAACAAAAGAAATAAAGAAACACCAGGTAGGCACGAAGCCAGGCTAGGTAGTCAGGAGGGAAGCCGGGTATGCAGGAAAACAAAAGAAAAAAGAAACACCAGGTAGGCACTAAGCCAGGTAGGCAGGAGGGTAGCCAGGTTAGCACGAAGCCAGGTAGGCGGGAAGACAATGAAAAAAGAAACACCAGGTAGGCACTAAGCCAGGTAGGCAGGAGGGTAGGCAAGTAGGCAGGAAAACAAAAGAAAGAAAGAAACACCAGGTAGGCACAAAGCCAGGTAGGCAGGAAAACAAAAGATAGAAAGAAACACCAGGTAGGCACGAAGCCAGGTAGGCAGGAGGGTAGCCAGGTAGGCAGGATAACAAAAGAAAGAAAGAAACACCAGGTAGGCACGAAGCCAGGTAGGCAGGAGGGTAGCCAGGTAAGCACGAAGCCAGGTAGGTAGGAAAACAAAAGAAAGAAAGAAACACCATGTAGGCACGAAGCCAGGTAGGCAGGAGGGTAGCCAGGTAGGCAGGAAAACAAAAGAAAGAAAGAAACACCAGGTAGGCACGAAGCCAGGTAGGCAGGAGGGTAGCCAGGTAAGCACGAAGCCAGGTAGGCGGGAAAACAAAAGAAAGAAAGAAACACCAGGTAGGCACTAAGCCAGGTAGGCAGGAGGGTAGCCAGGTAGCCAGGAAAACAAAAGAAAGAAAGAAACACCAGGTAGGCACGAAGCCAGATAGGCAGGAGGGTAGCCAGGTAAGCACGAAGCCAGGTAGGTAGGAAAACAAAAGAAAGAAAGAAACATCAGGTAGGCACGAAACCAGGTAGGCAGGAGGGTAGCCAGGTTAGGCAGGAAAACAAAATAAAGAAAGAAACACCAGGTAGGCACTAATTCAGGTAGGCAGGAGGGTAGCCAGGTAAGCACAAAGCCAGGTAGGCGGGAAAACAAAAGAAAAAAGAAACACCAGGTAGGCACTAAGCCAGGTAGGCAGGAGGGTAGGCAAGTAGGCAGGAAAACAAAAGAAAGAAAGAAACACCAGGTAGGCACGAAGCCAGGTAGGCAGGAGGGTAGCCAGGTAAGCACGAAGCCAGGTAGGTAGGAAAACAAAAGAAAGAAAGGAACACCAGGTAGGCACGAAGCCAGGTAGGCAGGAGGGTAGCCAGGTAGGCAGGAAAACAATAGAAAGAAAGAAACACCAGGTAGGCACGAAGCCAGGTAGGCAGGAAAACAAAAGATAGAAAGAAACACCAGGTAGGCACGAAGCCAGGTAGGCAGGAGGGTAGCCAGGTAGGCAGGATAACAAAAGAAAGAAAGAAACACCAGGTAGGCACGAAGCCAGGTAGGCAGGAGGGTAGCCAGGTAAGCACGAAGCCAGGTAGGTAGGAAAACAAAAGAAAGAAAGAAACACCAGGTAGGCACGAAGCCAGGTAGGCAGGAGGGTAGCCAGGTAAGCACGAAGCCAGGTAGGCAGGAAAACAAAAGAAAGAAAGAAACACCAGGTAGGCACGGAGCCAGGTAGGCAGGAGGGTAGCCAGGTAAGCACGAACACCAGGAGGGTAAATATAAACGGAGATGAGTATGTTAGAAACCAAGTAGGCAGGATGAACAATATAAGAAATCGCGACGGAGTTAGAAAAGCAGATTAACGAGTTTAGAAAGAGCCACCTAAGCATGGAAAGCCTGGCAGGCGGAAAGACAATCAGAAAATATTATAGCCATGGGTAAGCACGAAGCCAGATGTAACAGGAAGGGACACATTGAAGGAGTTAGATATGCAGGAAGAAAAGTATTAAATGAACCGGGTAAGCATGAAGACAAGTCGGTAGAAAAATACAAGAAGAGCCAAGTAATTAGTAGGAATTAGAGTAGTCAAATAAAGGCCACGCTTTAGAAGAAAAGTATAAAGAGTGCAAAGTTGTCACGAATACAGATATTGATAAGCAGGAAGAAAAGTAAACGTAAATAGAAAGGTATACCTTTCTATTTACGTTTACTTTTCTTCCTGCTTATCAATATCTGTATAGGCACGAAGTGAAGTAGGAATTAGGAATAAAAATGAAAATATAACCAGTTAAGCACGAAGTCAGGTAGGCAGAAAGAATTGTAGAAAATAGCCAGGTAGGCACTAAGCCGGTTAGCCGGATATAATAAGGAGGAAAAATACAGAAAGAAAGTGGAAAGGATATGAGCCAGGACAGCTACAGGCCGTGTTGTACTTGTATAAATACAATACCAGAAAAGCATTTTTAAAGAACGAAACTGGATTTTACCTTTTTTGTTGCTGTTGACTTTCACACGGGCGTTGCTAAAAGACTTTCAATCCGTCGGGCCGCAGAAACTTCCAATTTGGGTTTCTGAATAGAAGGTTATGTTTGCCTGCAGTTCAATGTTCTCAAGTTTTGCAGTGCCTTTGCCCTTTGTTATGGTGCTCTTTTAGAATCCGAAACAAGGTTTATTCCGCTCTTTGTTTAACTTTAATTCCTTGACAGCTTGTTCACCTGTTCGTTGTGAAACTTCTCGGTGAAGGTCGAGCTAGTGGAGTTCTATATTTCTATATATACCTTCCAAGAAATACGAATAAGTGCAAAGTGGTTAGTGGCTCTTTCTTTGTGATCGTTATAATAATTTAACAACGCCAACGCTATAAATAGCGTTGGCGTTGTTAAATTCACTGGCAAGGGTCATCCTTTAATAAGGGTGTCGTAGCTTTCATAAGGGTGTCGTAGCTTTCATTGATTTATGTTGCTTCCCATTTCAAGCCAATCATTCAACATTTTCTTCAATACCTTTTCCATTGTCAGACGCTGCTCGACCGATCTGCATCTCTTCGTACATCGTAGCCGGGCCGTTAGAGGGGGTGCGAAGCCTTACATTTACATCAATATACCCAGAGTTTTTTATCTAGACACTTATTTTACTTCGGAGTATTCCATTTCCAACAGCCATATTGTTACACAAGTGCAACCAGCCAATTACAGGAAGCCGAAGGATTTGTTTTTAGCCAGTGACGGTTAAGGTAGTGTGTACCATACTTTCTTCGCCCGAGACTTTGCTGCATGCAACATGTGCAGCTCCTCATTTAACCCTCACACCCGATTTCTCGAGTATTCGGCTGAGTACACCGGGGGGCTGCATAGACCCCTCACGATCCTTAGCTGAATGTCAACGACACTCACCCCACGACCAGGCAGGCAGTAGGATTTGAACCCGCAACCTCACGATTGCAAAGCTGGCTAACCAACTGCGCTACCTGGCCGTTTGCGCTACCTGGCCGTTCTTCACCTTCGATACTTTACAGAATACAGACGCTTGCTCTTGAGTCTTGCCTGCTTACACTTTATTCAACTATAACGGATAACCTTCTTTCAAACTGAATAACTTAAGCTGTCAATGCTTAATAAGTGCTCACTGATACTCATCCGACATCCACTGCTCCCTTCCGACAGTTCCGTTCGGCGGTCTGCCAGCGCACACCCTCTTTCTGCCGTTCTCTCATATGGGTATTGACCATCTAGCTTGTGCAATCCTTACTTCCGAAAAGCATTACAAAAAATTTAAATGAAAGGTATGATCTAAACGCATTGTATTTATACTGTCTTGCACGTGCAAAATAATTTTGTGTTTTGGCGGCCGGCCAAAATTAATTTATGAATCTTCAACCTAATTGCACGTGCAGGTGTAAATCCTTGGCATGGCACTGATCCAGGTTTAAAGACTGTCGTGGCGTCATAATGCACGTGCGAACTTTTGGCAATTTTTCCAAATCTTAACTTGGAGGACGTCGCCGCTTCGACGCGAACTATCATTCTTGCTTCGCTTCTGAGGAGATCGTAATGTTCTGCTTCGCCGAGCAACGATCTGGAAGGGTTGGCATCGTCAATCAAGGCTTTACCTGTCGAAACGATAGCAGGTAGATCGATATTCGATCGTCCTAACCAGTAATATTATATAACCGGCCGAATCGACCATGCGCGCCGGCTGGCCTGGGCCGCGTGCGCGCGCGCGTAATAAACCGCGAGTTGCGCATATACGATCACAGAAATGACAATGCGCCTTCCAATATAGGTATCGGTAGACCCTTTCATTTTAATTTCCACAAGTTCTCGTCGTGAAGTTTAATAATTTACTGCAATACGGAATGAAGCTTTGTTCCTCGTCAATTTGATCAGAATGTCGACTTTTAAATTATTTGCAGTTGGGGGAGTGCGCATGGTCGTTACTGAGAGCTCCACTGAGGGGGAATTAACCAACTTAACAAAGAACACAGCAAATTATGACAAATAAAGATTTTACACAATACATCAAAACTTCTCAATACGGAATACCAAATCAATCTACAGTTGCAGCACTAAATTCGCGTAGATAATTTAACTATTCCACGAAAAAAGGGAACGTCAGTCAGCATTTAGAAGGGTAAAATATCGATTAATTTGAGAAAAATAAATCTTTAATCAAGTTAACTTTCCAAAACAATCATTAGATTGGTATCCATAGCACACAAATATTTAAATAATCGATCAAGCCCGAAAAATAAAAAAGATTCCTGTATTTCGGGTGATATGAAAAATCAAACGTACAGTCATTGATTAACTTTGAATGCTAAGGACAAAAATGATATTTCTTCGTTAAATCTACACGCCACAAAATTGATTGACATAGTTAATATCTAAAATGATCTTAAAGCAGAATCCATTATCTATCCCACTGCTAAGGTTAGACAGTCAGACTGCTTCAACTCGCACAGCAAAATATAATATGGGTGGAACACAAAGTAGCCGACTGTTCAATGACAGTTATTCTCACGAAAAGTGTAAAATGAAATAATTGATTGGGGCATGGATGTTGGATTAAGTAAAAAATCGCCCGATTGACAGAGTTCACTACAGGTGACGAAAATTTCTTCTTTTTTAGAAGAGTATTTACGCCACCTAGTCAAGGTTTTCAAAACAAAATTACAATATGGTTAAACCCCAGACCTAATTGCTTGCCATGCACTACTGATAGGACAGGCATTTTTACAAGGAGAGAAAATAATTTTACTTAAAAAACAATCCACACTTAACTAACACTCCTCGAAATGTGCCCACTTTAAATTGAAATGGTTAATGATCCTAGAGTTTAGAATGTAGAAGATTATGTCAGTTGAACGGTTTGGACTGTTTTATTTCCGTAGCCAGTTGCTTGGCAGGGAGGTCGGCGTTGGATACCGCCAGTCGGTTCAAATGTTCTGTTATTTCGTGCAGATCTTCTTCCTTTGTAATACTGCTACTCAGCAATCTGAGAGAGGTTATTTATAATCCACCATGTTCCATGGAATTGGATAGTCTAAAAAGTTAAAATAAACCCCGCCACGACACATGTGACGGGAACTGAATATCAAATTTTGCGAGACGAAAATATCATTATATTTGGAATATTTAAACATATTAAATGTCACACCGATATAATAGTGGTATAACGTGCAGTTTTACTTAATGATTGATATAACATCTGTTGTTTTTAAATAGGTTCATAGTTGTGGGATGTCTGGTAACACCAGCTGTAGATCACACTTCAATGACTTTATAAATTACTATCATATCTCAGTTTTTATGGTATAAACGTTATTTATTTATGTCAAAATAAATATGATCGTCCTTTTCTAAAAATGTAGAATTCCTGAAAATAAACATCACTGATAACTCTGACAACATTTTTTGTCGTAAGCTAAGATTCCGAGGTAGAATAATAAATAATCAATTGAATGGCACACTATCTTACTAAACAATTGAAAACAACTGCTGATTTTAACTTTTTAATTGTTTTTATTTAATATTGGGAATATTATGTATAATTAATTAATACCTGATGATGTTAAGCGCGAGTATTCGAACGTTAGGATTAGTATCGTCGGTCAGGGAGCCCTCACAAAACTTTAGAACTTTCTCAGAGACAAGAGAGGAGCCGTCTCCTTGCGTGTGTATTATCTGTGGTAATAATCACAATCTGGTTATCTGATCTGTTTTATAGTATGTAGTATTGCTACCTATCACAATTATACAGTTCATATTAGAATGGTAATCTTATATTTGATCCTTCGAACAGCTGTTGAGCAATGAAACGCAAACATAATCTTAGCAAAATGAATATATTTCTTTTATCTTCAGCATTTAATCAGTCACATAATCTGAGAATATCAATGGTTAGTTTGAAAATGTCAAAAATTCTCATCAAAAATGTAGTAAAGTCTCAAAAAATTCTCAAAAAATTATCAAAAAATTAATTTAGCATCTCGTAAAAATGGAATAGTTTAAAATCGGAACAAAATTAATCGCATATACTATAATAATGTGGAGTCTGCAGTAGTTCATTAAATCAAAAAGACGCAATTCAAAAATTGATAGACTGCATATATAAACAAAAAATGGACGATTTAAAAATAAAATTCGGGACACCATGAAAAATTAACTTCCAGAAACGGAATTCACATTGTTCAGGCCAAACGGATAAAGTGTCTTCAATTTGTTAATATAAAACTGTTCTGACTTTCTAATATTATCTGGGGATGTAGAACACAAAATATCAAAATGGAAACTTTCATTGAAAACAGATCTCTCCCTCAAATTATGAACTGAAAAAAGATGTGCCCCTAAAACATTCTCGTCATCAAAATCTCTGTGGCTCTCAACATTCCCCTTACTACTCGCCTCTAAAATCTCATAATATTTACTGCGATGACCATTCACACGTTGGCTGAGGCTGGTGACTGTTTTTCCCACGTATACGTTATTAACAGTACAAAGTTTGCATGTCGCGCCGTACACAATGTTGCGTGTCTTACAGTTACCACCTTGAGTTCTGACTGAGTGTCCATTATTGGAGACCATGGAATTGCCACTAACAAGGTGACAAGTTTGGCAGGGTCTGCCTTTCTTCTTCTCACCAGGTTTGGTGCATGGGTCAGTTGTTCTTGACTCTGAACCTAAGAGTTAGAATGGAAGTAACTAATCTCAGCCTCTTGGCCAGAATCGCTGAATCTCGCCCCTGGACGATTAGTGGTCCCACTAGATTCCAAAGAGTCTGAACACCTGCAATCTATAATTACATGCTCACCACGTTCCAAAGAGATGTGACAGGTGCGAAAAGTTACGTACGCGCAATTAGGCCATTTCAGAAAAGTGAACCCGTTTTAAATGGATGCAGATGGTAGCTAGGAATTTAGAGTGATTCACCATTTGTATTGTGGTATGTGATTTAACATAATATTACAATCCTACAACATGAACAATCATTTACCTTTTGAATAGCGAGCCAGCCTTCGACTTGGATTTGAGGGAATTCTTTAGTCGTTGTCATTTGCAATATTAGCGGCATAATCTTACATTCAATCTGCAAAATTGAATATGTAAATGCTTTCAAAAATACATTACGCCAACAAGAAGCTCTCTGGCTAGCATTTTAATTAATGTATAAATATTAAATATCTACAAATGCTCAAATGTCATGAGCTAACGAATTTATTCTTTATGATTTATTTTCGCAATTCAAAACAAATCTCATGAACATGATGATTGATGCTAGGCATCTTTAAAAGGTAATATTATACACAAAACATCTCATAATGACATCATATTATGTTGAAATCGTGTAATTTCTGGGTTCCATATGTTGTCTGATCATATTGTTAAATACTAATGACCCCAACGTGACGCGCGAATGATCACACATCTAAGAACCGCCATCAGAAATGTCTCGCGAAATATTCTGACCTTTTCATTTTTTGTCGTCGGACACTTCAAACAGCTACGACATATAAATAAATAGATAAATAAATTGTTAAAAACTGATTTATTATTAACAAATGAGGTAAAGAGAAAGTAACCATTTGTGTGATAGTTTGAGGGTTGTGTTTTCCCTCTACGATCAGAGTACTGATGAGGCGGGGTACTTCTCCCTGGATACCGTTGTGATACTTGTACTTGTCTACCAGTCCAACTAGAGTCTGGAATAATAGTGGTGTTAAAGTGGTTAATAGTGGTTAATAGTGGTTAATAGTGGTTAATAGTGGTTAATAGTGGTGTTAAAGTGGTTAACAGTGGTTAATAGTGGTTAATAGTGGTTAACAGTGGTTAACAGTGGTTAACAGTGGTAAATAGTGGTAAATAGTGGTGTTAAAGTGGTTAATAGTGGTTAATAGTGGTTAATAGTGGTGTTAATCCGAGGGTAATCTGAGGGTAAATGAGTCTAGTAATACATGCATTCGTATCTGCACAGATGTTTGAACGAATTCATATAATCTTACAATATTGACAATAACATCAACCCATGATTGTAAAATATGCTTACAATTCTTTGTAGGTTCACAATTCAATCTTACAATCTTGAAAATAACACCAACTCTCGCTCCTGATTGCTAACTACGCTTACAGTTCATTGTATATTATCCACTATTCCAGTATCCAGCGGTATAAAAGCAACCAATAGCCCTACGATTATAGCTATCTATATGATAACAGTAGCAGACTATAAATTTCCCTGAAAATGAACTGAACCGCTACCTTAGCGATGATAAATGCAATTTTCTGCTAATTAATTAGAACCACCAGATCAAAAGAGGCCGATGAGAGATGCATCTAGATGCACTGATTGTGCAATGTGCTGGTTCTAATAAAAGAACGGAATAGTTGATTATATATTCAGAATTAGAGGCGTGAGTATTTGGTAAACTGTGGGTGTATACTGAAACATATTGTAGACAAGTAGGCGCTGTAATAGGCACTTCTATACTAGGCACTGTATATCATTAGGTACTGTAATAAGCAATAGTAGGTACTAAATAGTAGGCACTAGCACTCTATCTTTCACAAGTTATCACAAAGATGAGAGAATCCTAAAGGCCACTTTAACTGCGCTCAGGTATGTTTCGTTATATTAAGATAGATAAATTATGTCATATTATATATTATATACAATATTTTGAGTAAACATTGGCTGGAACTTCGGGCCACTCCCCAACAAAAAAGAATTTAGACAGGGACGTGGAATATATACTCAGACTCAAATTTCCCACGTACTACCATCTTTCCAGGTCTTTATTTAAGAAAATTCAGAAACATAAACTCAATAGCCACTCACAGGCCACAGCACCTCGTGTATCTAATTTCTGTGACATGTGGTGAAATAAATGACCTGTGAAATGATGTTAATGAGGTGAATAAACAGCAGTTTGTATTTGAATAACTAAAACATGTAAAAGCCTCCACAAAATATTATCTTCTCAGGTAAGATACTCCATTCTTTTATATATGTATGTATTATATTAATAATCTTCTTGTAATTCTAAGATCTATCCTGGCACAGCCACGTGAACTGTAAGCTCCTTGTTAAATTAGAGTCCCAAATAGCTGGCTAACTATCGTACACTAACATTTATAGTTGGGCCCTCACTGTAGCGAATTCCACTAGTAGCCTGATCTATTCTACTGGCCTGATCAGCAAATCAGCGGCTGAAGGGCGCTACTACAGGATAATAATAATATAACCATTGTATTGGAGGAACAGCATTTTCTGCTATGAACACCACTAACCCTAGCCTCTATTATATTAATTATTACCAATTCAGTATCCTGTATTATCTACCTATAAGGCTCCTATTGTTAATATACCTAGTTACCTTTAACCCGTTACTATATAATACATGAGCTCTGTTTGACAAAGTGTCGTACCTCATAACTTCTGCCATATAACCGAGTCTCCACGATAGCTCCATGCTCATTGCACACGACCACAATTTCCATGATGCGTATAATATATTAAGTTATTATTATTTAAATAACTGTACTAGCTGCTACCCACACTGTACACTGTACACACTATGTTCCGCCCGGATACAACCTACTATTGTTATTTTAACAAATCAGATCCACCTTTTGTTATCTTATTATAGCAGTACATGCACGTGCAGCGCGGCGTGATTATTTAACGGTTCGTTTTAAATTTCCTCGCAGATCAGTGCTTTTCCATAAAAATTATGCCCTTAAAAAGAAAGAATTATAAAAAAGGTCAGATGTTCTAAAAATCTCTTTTGTACCTAATTTTAAATTTCCTCAAAACTTTCCTCGCAGATTATCTGCCGATCCGTCGTCTTTCTGTACATGTGGGTTCACAGTTCCTACATGGTACGTATGAGCTACTGGCTTTACTGATATATAAAACAGTAAATGATATAAATTGTGACAGTAAAATAAAGGGAAGTGTTTATTTATGTGCTGTGTATACCTGACACTGTAACACGTATAGTAAGCAATGAACTAGTAGTCGTTAGTAATTACTCGTTATAACTGCAAGTCCTAACTTATTATGAAAATATGTGTAATACATTGATTTTAGTAACACAACTAGTCATGACTCATGAGGTAAATCTGCTGGCAGTCATTCCATAAACATTTTGTATAGCATAAATTGATGATTATCGTGTCTTATGCGATCCATATTCCATAGTAATCTGACAAATGGTTCAATGGATTCAGGAAATAAACTAGATTAAAATTTATTTACTGCTGGTGATAACACTCAACCTAATCAACCTAATCTCGACCCAATCTCGAACTAATCTCAAGCTAAATTCGAAGGCACGGAACAATCTGTGAAGGCACGTCTTGCGGTAGAGTAGATCGACTCTTAACTTGGTTAGATCCTAACTAAGGCGAGTAACAATGTTATCTACATTCTACATTTAAATGTGCTACTCAAGCTAGTATTTAGATACACCAAATGCAACTATTGTACAATGTAATAGTTATACATTAACATAACGTTTCAAGTGTAGAAAAATACATCAACGTTTTCTATTTAATGCCAAAGCGTGTGTAGGAATTGACTTTTATATAAGTTAGTGTAGAATAACGAAATATTTACAGTTATTAGGAGAATCTTTCATCTTACAGAGGAGTATTGTGGCTCAAACTGTCCATTATATTCCGGTTCTTGTATCGTTACTAATTGGGTGATAATTACTAGATAATTGGTGCTCCACACTGCATGAAATGTGCTTCTTAAGAACCACAAAGAAGTTATTATTGCTTTCTTGTACTTGTAGACAAGACAGCATTTTTACTCCAGAAAGTCTGTGTAGTATATAATAAGTTTAAAAGAGGACTATGTTACTTATAATAGCAAACATCAATAAGAACCAAAAAAAATCAAAAATCAATTAAACGAACGTATCCTCAATAAATAAAACATAACTAAACTGTAAATCATCATCAACAAAACCTTAAAAACATGGCAAACAAACTGTACCTGTAAAAGTGTAAGATTAACAGCGAGCTCAGTAGCAATCTCAGAGTCTCCCCTGGTCAGGCACCTGACACACCCCACACTCTTAAACACCAACATGGGCATGTCACATGACACGTAGCCTAGCAACGTCTCCAAGTGGGGACGGATACGGGGCTTGGCTACCTCGCATATGGAGAGGTTGCGTAGTGCGGAGAGAGCTGCGTGTTTTACCTGCGAGTATAGCGTGACGTTATATTATACTGTTATACTTTTTAATCATTCTTTAATAATTTAGTACTGAGGACAAATTTTATCCTCTTCAGTCTGTGTTATCTTTTATTTCTTGTCTTGACAAGCAAATATTATTAAAATTATTTCAGTCAATGATTGATAGATATTCACATTTCACAAGGATCTAAATATTGAGCCAACAGAACTGAAACATCAGGGTCCTGACACAACTTATAAACTATATCTATAAATCTAAATCGTGATCCCGATAAAGTCATCTACAGAACAGGTCATACAGCTCACTGCTCAGGAGAATTATAGAAATACCTAGTGTTGACAGAACTAAAATTAAACAACCACACTCACATTGACAAGGTACTTAACACCTACTGTACCGTGTAACCTTGATTTTAATTCAAGTTTAATGAGCGCGCTAAGCGTAACACGTGATCACTAGGTACCTGGTATATCAGAGGTGAATATATTACACGATCTTAAAATCTGGTGTATATTGTATAACTAATACTATCAGTTTATTTCTGGGCATATTTAATTTGATGGGCATGAGCTGGGAAATCGGACGTCAAATTACTAGATCTAACCGTAGAAATTAATGATTGATTGGGGGACTGGTCCGTAGTACCAGCCAATGTTTACTCAAAAGTAATATACATATAATTGAAATAAGTTAAAATATTCATCCCCGAGGGGCACGCAGATTATAATTGTGATGTTATCTATTAAAACTATTCAATTAAAATTTTATTGGTCGAGTCGACTGGCCCTGATCTGCAAACATATTTGATATTAGTAACTTTATGATGCTGCCTCACCGCAATTAGGTGTGTTATCAGTGTAGATATGCGCTATGTGGCAGTGAAATAAGGAAATGTGGAATGTGCTGTTAGAATGGCAGGTGGTTTGAAATGTTGTCCTGATTCAGATTGTTTAATTTGAGCTGTTTGAGTTTGGTTTTGAGTGATTATTGACTATGTTCTTTGTGATTTACGTAATCCAGGTAGGTTGTGGAGTAAAAATGGTGGCCATTCGTCGTTGCAGCCAGCACTTTGCAAGTCTAGTAGTACTTTTTTTGACGAATTCTTATATATGTTGATAGAAAATATACTGGATGGGCATGTAATGCGAGTGTTATGCTCTGAAATAGCGAGCATTGGGCCTTTATAAAAGATGCTAGATCTCAGGTCAGTCTGTGAGTAAATTGATAACCAGTCTAAGTTTTGTTCGTGTGTCGTTCCTTGTTTGGGTGTGTTAGGAGGGAAAAGTTCTGAAATCGATTTAGGTAACAAACTAGACATATTTCGAACTTTGTGCAGTAAAATAAGTGCGTTTTTAACGATAACCCCTTGAACGGTTAAGACCTCGTGTTCTTTAAATGCTAGTTTTGTGTGCTCTGGCAGTTTTCCGTCCTTGTAGTAGTAGTTCACATTTCCGGCCATAACTGCCCTCATACCTTGTTTTTGTTTAGCAAAAAGAGATTCTATAAGAGATTTTGAAGCAAATCCCCAGACAAGTGAGCAGAAGTTTAAATGGGACTGAACAAAACTTTGGAAAATCTGTAAACGGGCCTTCATTGGCAATTTATGTTTTATCCTGTACATCACCCCAATAAATCTTGACATCTTGCTCCTCAGTGCTTTTATGTGGTTACTCCAGTTCAGCTTTTCATCTACAATTACACCAAGAAACCGGGCTTCGGTTTTACGTTCTAATACTGTATTTTCTATTTGTACTTTAATCAATGATGGTTCTATGCGCTTTTTAGAGAAAATCATATAACACGTCTTTTTTAGATTTAGTGCTAATCCGTTGCTATTAACCCACCGTGATAATGTTTCCGTTAATTGATTGACCCTTAGCATTAGTTCTTGGACATTGGAACCGTTAATAATGATATTTGCATCGTCTGCATAAAGTATGAATTTTACCATCATGTTAGAAATACCGGGAAGATCGTTGATGTATATGACGAAAAGTAAGGGACCTAGTATGCTCCCTTGTGGAACACCATGCACAATAGGCTTGTGGGACGAATGTGAATTGTTTATTGCTACATATTGGCTTCTATCACTTAGGTATGACTTAAACCACTTTAGAGCTATTCCCCGGATGCCGTAGTGCTGTAATTTATTTAGCAGTGTAGCATGATCCAGGACGTCAAACGCTTTACTGTAATCTAATAATAGCAGTAGTGAAATTTGGTTTTTGCTAAGAGAGTGTAAAATTGTACTTTGTGCATTAAGAAGAGCATGTTCACAGGACCTTCCTGGACGGAAACCATACTGATTTTCGAATAAAGAACTATTTTTGTTAAGAAATTCTAAGACACGTCGGTGCATCAGTTTTTCGTATATTTTTGAGAAGGAACCTAAGAGAGATATGGGTCTATAATTTTCAACGTCAAGTTTAGAGCCTCCTTTATGGATGGGAGTTACTTTGGCAATTTTAAGGGCCTGTGGAAATATGCCTGTACTTAAGGATTCGTTGATAACTTTTGCTAATATAGCAAGGAAACTATCGCTGGAACTGGCTACTTTTAGTGGTTCAATTTTTGTGTCAAGGGTCGCTTTGTTCTTCAAACCAATAATAATTCTTTGAATTTCGATCGTTTCGGCAGGCTGGAGATAGATTGATTGAGAACAGGATGTGGGCAGATATTCTTGGAACCCTCCAGGGTCAAAGGTCTGACGGGCACTTATCTGAGTTTTGATGTTCGTAGCAATGTTCGAGAAATAGTCATTAAACCTTTCAGCCACGGTATCTTCAGAACTCAAAATCGACCCGTCCGAACCTTTGAGTCTTAACTGCTCAGTTTTCCTGCTTCTACCAAGTAAACCGTTGATTATTTGCCATTGTTTTTTGGAGCAGTCCTGGTATTTTTCGAATTGTTTTTTATAGTATCGTTGTTTGGCAATGTTGACATGTTTTTTACAGAAAAGTTTTAGCTTTTTATAGGCCTCTATATTATTCATTGTAGGTTCAAGTACTTTACTATGATAACTTTCTTGTTTCCGCGCACATGCTTCTTCAAGCCAGGGTAGTATCCAGGGTTTAGTATTAGAACGCTCGTGCTCACGGCGAATATGATTGATTTTTAGTGGATAGGCAGTGTTATAGTGCTTGGTGTATATATCTGCAAGTTTTCCGTATTGCAGACTAGCGTCGTCTGTACTTAATATCTCGTCCCACGTTTCCCCATCGATGAGTTCCCTAAAAGCAGCATTGTTGGCCTCATTTATGACACGTGTTTCATAACTAAGTTTAGGTTGTGTGTTAGTGGGTAGCCTGAGATGTTGTTGCGAAGAGTTACTTAGTTTAAAAGTGGTAACGATAGCAAGATGATCCGATAAATCCACCGTTACAACGTTACTGCTTATTGTGTTACTTATATTATTTGTGTAGACATGATCAATTAAGGTAGCACTATGATCGGTGACTCGTGTCGGCCTTGAAACCGTCTGAACAAATCCATACTTGGCAAGGAGGTCTATGAGGTTCTGTCCAGAAATATCAGTTTTGAATTTTATAAGATCAATGTTCGCGTCTCCAAAAAACATGATATGCTTGCGAGAATGTCTATCTAGACCTCGTAGCACCTTTTCCAAAGAATTTAAGAAGTTCTGAGTACCTTTAGATGGGGACCTGTAAAAGTTTATCAATACTTTTGTTTGGTTTGTGCCTTTGCAATTATGCACCTTAACTAATTGAAATTCAGCGCACGTGTCATCGGGATCTGTGGTTGCCTTAAGATTTTCTATATTTTCGGGATCACAAACCCTCTTATTAATGTAAATTACAAGGCCACCACCTTTTCCTGATTTGCGTAATGGTTCCTGAACAATAGGCTCGTGAAACCCTTCAATTTTAATGTCGGAGATTCCGTTTGGTAATTTATCTAACTTCAAATTGGTTTCGTTAAGACACAAAACGTCATACTTAGTATAACTGTCGATTTCTTCACGGAAGTATGTGATGTTCTTTACTAATGATCGCACATTAAGAGAAAACACTTTCAGTTCATCACGGGAGGAACTTTTAATGTTCGATGGCTGCTGATACTTACAATTGGTTAATATATCGCTGATTTCGTTCCAGTATTGGTAACTTTCATCGTTATCCTGATCTAAAGCGTTACCAATCAAATCTAAACCATGTGAGCGGTCGTATGGATTGAAAAGAGCAGTGATTCGGCTGCTACAGTCCATAAAAAGATCATAAGATGTCACATAATAACCTGGGATTAACGACTCACAGCACTTTATGCAGCCTAAATTATCTCTAAAACACTTTTTATGAATGTACTCATCGCACCATGGACAAAACCTAATGTTTAATCTAGAATAACAAAACCCGTTACAGGCCATGCACTTTGTTTTAAAATTAGTCTTGTTAACACTACTTTTTTTATTCGTCGGGACATCAGAGGCATTGATTGGGAGAATTGAGCTTATGCATTCGTAGCAGAACCATGGGTTCCCAGAATTTATAATGTGCCGGGCATCGTTTTTTGATAGTTTCTGGCATTTTAAATGTTTACGTTCAGCACATAGGTCACAAATTAGGTCAGGAGAACTTTTAGGGATACGAACATAGCATTTGTCGCAATTGGGCTGTGAGCCGTGTTGCCTATGATTACTTCCCTCCACTTTCAGTGACAGAATAAAGTAAGAGTTGAAAACAGATTAAATAAATGAAATAAAAACTGAATAAAGAAAAATTGATATTAATAAATAATCTGATGGGTGTAGACAGTAGGCTGGTCAGATCCGTTTGCAAGAACTTTCAGTTCTGTGTGCAAGACAAGATCGTGACGGTTGGGCCTATTTACTACTTAAAAACTACAGATTATTATCTGCTCAAAATCAACAGGCTATGCAACTAGTTCTCTTAAAGAATTTGATAATAAATAACAGAAAAGATTGACTAATGCGAGGGGCGCACGGACTGTGGATCAGTCATAGTCTGTCAGAAGTCGGTAGTTGGGTAGATTGTCGATGTGATTTTTCGTTTTCTGTATCATGTGTACAATGTAATGAGATGTAATAATATACAGTAGGCCTCGTATTTTGTTTTATAAATGGAGTATTAAACGATGCGATTAAGGGACTGTAATTAGAATGACTGATAAGTGTAAAGCCGAGATTACTGATAAGGCGAAATGTTGTGACAGGTGTAAGTGAGTTGCGATAATATTAGTATTCGACGTGTTTTGAAAATGTTATGCTACGTTGGCTTAATTTGAAATATGATTGCAGATCAGTCCTTTTACAAATTGATCATAGTAGTTGTATGTGTTTAACTCTCAGCCGAAACCGCAACTATTCATATAGTTGTTACATATATCTAAAAATGGACGTCTTAGAGGTAGTGATCCTTTACGAAATCCTAAGCTCAGTAAAATCAAATTTATCCAGCATGTCGTGAGAACAGATTTGCCAGTGTTATTTAAATGTAGGCCATCCCGTGCAAGGTGGGGCAAACCGAAATTCAAATTGTCAAACAAAAGAAAGTTGGGCGAGCGTAGTGAGAGATGAACAAGCAGCTCGTTCAGGTTGTTAATACTGTCATTCAGCTCATGGTAAGGGTCTGCATTCAAGTTGACTGGTGATATGGCGTCGAAGATGAATTGAGTGCCAGAGTGACTTATGAAATATTTTAGGTGGTCATGCAGGGTCATAGGATCAGCATGACCGAATCTGAGGTCGTTCACTCCGGCACTGATGAGGACTAGATCAGATTGTTCTATTGAGGCTTGGTGTTGTGCTAAGTCTCTCAGATGGAAGAGATCTTCTCTGAACGCAATGATCGGCTCTTTGAGGAGAGAGCAGTCGAATGTACGGTTCTTGGAGTCAGACAGTATAAGAACTCGCCGAAGTCGTTTCGGTGTTGGGTGGTCCTTGTGTGGTGATGATAGGCCTGACGACAAGGAGCCTCGTTGGGGACGTCTGCTCTTCTTGACTGTACCGGGGTCCTCTAGCAGTCTGAAGGTAATGCTCAATCGGGGCCCCTCAAATTTCTCTTCAGGGATTCCTGGAACGGAGTGATCCCATTCATCCTGGCTTTGTCTGGACATGGTATAGAGAGAACCATGAGTAGCTGTGAATGTCTCCTTCTTGTACTCTCCAGGGATCTTCCTCCGAAATACCACTTCTCTAGGACAGCCGAGTGACAGAGTGATGATGTTACTATCCCTACTGATACTGGGTTCGTTGTCTGAGTGGGGTGGAATGCAGGAGCGGGGAGAATCGTATGAGGTGACCATGGCTGAGTTGAAATTAAGATCTGGATATTCGGTCTTAAGAACATTAGCAATTTCACTCAAATATGACGATTTTGAAATGTCTCTAGCATGATGGGAACCGCCGGAATAGCGATATGAGAACTGACCATAGTAGGCAACACGTCTATTAGGAAAAGTACGGTCATAAGTTACGTCATCGTTCAGCGCAGAACTCGTAAATGTGTCAAAATGTGCACCATCAAGTGTCTCAAACGGTAGTGTACCTAAGTTTGTCGAGTTACCGTGTAGTCCTTGGCTGTGTAGTCGTTGGCTGGGCGGTGGGGGGATAGGCGTCTGCTGAGGGCTGCAGGGTGGTTGAATAGCTGTGGTAGTTGTTGAACTGAGAGTTTGGCCAATGTCTTTTTGAAGTCCTTTCAACTGCTTACTAGCGTCCTCCGTGTGCCTCGTAATGATTTCAGTTAAGTTTTCAACACAATTAGATAACAAGTTAAATAAAGAATCTTGTTCTTCGCCAATAAATTGTTGGAAATGCTCTCTTAGGGCCACACGAGCTTCGTCAATGTCCTTTTTACTACGAGTTTTACGTGGCAGATTCTTGATAAATTCAGGATTCAAAATAAGGTTGCTCTCCCTCATTATCTGATCTTCATCTAGCTTGTCGACTAGCTCTAGGCTGGTCAGCGCTGAGAATCCCCCTAGCCGTTTTGGTTCAGGTTCCATTATCAAAAACTTACTTTACTGGAAAGTTTGTGGCAGCTTTATGTAATTGGACGGTTCTGATTCCCGTACCGCCTAGCCTCAGTCTGTCAGTCGTAGTTAGTTACCACAGTCCACGTCACAAGCACATGCAATTTAGCTGTTATCTACATACAGATAAGAGTGGACAAACGTACTACAGAAAGAAATGTGTGTAATGATGATAATAACTTTATGTTCTTCGATTTGACAAGTTTTAAAGTTGTAACCGGTAGGATATAATATATTTGAGTATTAGAACAGTTTAATGAAGTTGTGTCTAAGAGTTAAGAGACTTTTAACTGTTACCCATCTGCCATGAAACATGCCTTATAGGGCAGTATAGAGTACAATCTACACGGGTATTTGATTGCTTTGGATTGCTCAATGTTACAAACTGGTCCATAGATTGGCTTTATCAGTACATAGAACATAGAATATTTACATCTGCACTGTAGGCAGCTGGCAGGTTCATAATAACAAAATATTTTCAAATTATTGCTGTCTTCCGCTCATCTGTTGATTTTGAAGCTTCAACGCTCACCAGAAACACTCTCAGAGGCCATGCATATAATTTTGGAGACTTGAATGCATTCTAGACCATAATCTAATGATCAATTAAGATACGAATTGGATCAAATTCCGCACTCTTTGTTCAGCTGACTCCTTTATAAGTAGATTCATGAACTTATAATGGTCATGCTTTGTTGCAAAGGAAATCATGCACAGTGAGAATGACAAGAGCAGCGTGTAAACTGCGTACAATCCTGAGTGATAATTTAAAAGAATGTAAGATCCAAAATTATACTACACCATGGACTAATGTGAGGTATGAAGTTAGCCCGAAGAATTTAATACTCCGTGTATTAGAGACTGGAAGAATTGGCCGTGTTTAAGGAATTCCGGGAAATGTTTCGGCAATGATCAAGTATTCCGTGATCATAGCATGTAACAAAATGCTTGAAATTCCGTTAGTCAGGTTAATAAGGTAATTTTGTTAATAACTGGTATTGAGACTATAACATCGGTCCGATAAGTAATACTAAGCAGTCCTAATCAGTTGTAATAATTAGCTGTGATAATACAGGGTTACAGATCTGGATATGGAAAGAAACATTTTAAAAGCGACTTGATAATTTAAAAAAGTTAAGTAAGTTGGATGATGGATCTGCTCATATTGTGTACCTCGACAATAACATAAATAAATCTAGTATATAGTCCAAGTTCTTATCTTATATTCTTTTAAGAATTTAAGATAAGAACTTGGACTATAGTACAATCTAAGTTAAAACTTATATTCTTAACTCAAGTTACGGTAAATTAATTAGCAAATCAACCAACTAACCTTAACGAGCATCTCATCGGAAGTATAATCACATGCCAGCACTTTGAACAGGGTCTCCACCAGGTCAGGAGTATCTACCAGCAGTGAGCTACGTAGGTCTGACGTTGCTAGGTTACCTATCACCAGTGCACCTGTTGAGGGAGACTTTATTTTAGTTTGTTTATGTAGATCATACTGTAGGTAAAGATATTGATTAAAGAGGTGTTTTAGACTTAACGTTATCTTTGAGCTATCGACATTCGACATTCGACGATTTTTAGAAGAAAATTATCAATGCAAGACTTATGGATTATATCAAATACATAATATTAAATACATATGAAATACATATATATTATATAGATAAACCGTCAACCGATAATTCCAGTTTCCAGTCAGAAAAACTACCAAGTAGAAAATCTACGTCGCTAATAGTAATACCTGTTCCCTTCAAGTGCTCCTGGTATCCCTTCATCCAGTCCATAGCTTCTTTAGTGAGATCCAGAGCAGTGTCTTCAAACACAAGCTGGGCTATCCCATCGTGTGACACAACCAGAACCAGAATCTGAAACATAATTAATGTAATTACATAATTACTGTTTATTCAGTTGGTTAATTAGTGATGTAATTGTATAATGGAAGGTGAGGATGGTGATGGGAGTAAAAATCTCCGTTCATGATAACGGTGGGGGACCAGGTGAAACAAACCATTCTACTGTCATTAACTCTATCATTCCAATTTTCTGTCCAACCTTTCGTGACTCCTTTTGATATTGTCCCAGTTTTTGTTGACCATTTTACTATCGTTCAGGATTGTGGCAGATGAACTACAGAAACTAAACTTAATAATGCTTGAGGATTTACTAAACACGGTAAAATCGTGACAGATAAACTAAGTTGTCTTCGAAGGACCTCTAATAAAAGCAACACTACTTCTCATTAGAATTCAAATCTAGGATCTTGGAAGCTAAAACGTTCAGAGATAATAGTTGAGAATAATAATTGATTGAATAAATCGTATCGATATTAGTAATTTTTGAGTTTTAAACATTTTGACTTTTCTTGCTTAACCAATTATATCATGATAACCAACAAAGCTATTAAACTTGCAATAGAGTAAATAGTTCACTATAAATTGGATTTGGTAGGACAGAACTAAGACAGTACAAACAGTACATAAATCAAATATCAGCTGACGAGGGCAATCTCATAATTACCTGAAAAATTGTTATGCATGACAATGCATAAGATCTCGAATATCAGGACTTGAGCTTTTCTTACAGAATTCACGGCGATATATTTTAACAAATAAGTAGCTCCCTCTAAACTCAGTTAGCATAGTAGTGTTCAGTGGGCGCATATTTGGCAGAATTCATCATAATATCATCATTAAGTTATGTAGAAGATTATTTGATTATGTATCGTATGACATACCGCACATGTGCATTGTGCATGCCCCCAGTCTTAACTCAACTCAGTCATAAAAGACATGATCTTGTGATGAATATCTCTTTATTAAAATAAAATTACATCTTCAATAAATTTGTAAAAACCCACCTCACTAGCGATCCGTTCAATGGCGGCAGTGTCAGTTTCGTCCAGAGAGGTATTAATAATCTCAACTATTTGGTTCAGCACCCCTGACTGGTAGAGCTGCATCTGTATCAGGGGCTTCTCCAACAAGTTGAAGTTTCCCAACACGTCCAGCACTGCTTCTTTTACCTGTTAACAGTTTCGTTTTAATTGTACAGTTACACACAGTGTAGATTGCGGTAAACCGTACCTCATCCAGAAAGTTCTAAATTTCCTCTCAGTATAATGTCTTATGCCCTAAAAAATTCACTTCTGACTGCCGGTCAGGCTGCCGTGTTTCTGGATGTGGGTAGACCGTACATGGTACAAGCTATCCCAGCATTGATTACTCCTCAATAAAAACCGATCAGACCATACTATGCCATGATCGAGCCAATTAGTGCCGCCCCGATGGTGTCATATTATTATTTTACAGCAAATATCTTTTACCAACACCTTCTCTTATAATTAGATAATTGGACCAAAGATTTAATTAAATGATTAAAATGACAAATTTTAAATGTTTCAGAATGTTGAACTCTGAAAACATATATAAATAAGTTGCTACAATATATTATTATGTGTGTAAGTTTAAGTTGAATTAAAGAAATGATTAAAATACAATGGTAGTTTGTAGGTTAAGCTAATTTTTGATCTATCATAGAATTGATAAAAACAAATTCCATTTCTATCATAATTAATTGACATCTCAGAATTCTTAGCTCCGTGAAATTGTAGAATTAAAAATTAAATTTCACAAATAATCTCCTACAGCTGCTGACTTCAAGAATTATAAATCATTCAAGAGTTGAATGGTCAGATAAATAGTGATCAGGTACAATGTACATTAGAGGGGGGAGACGAAACACGTTTTACAGCTGTTAAATTTCAATTAAACTATTACAGGTGCCTCAAACTCCGAGCAGACTGCAAGAGCTAGAGGTAAGTTGTTCGCAATAATGGAGTAACCACTGATCATAGGACCAGGGGTCAGTCTACACACACCACAACCATCTGACAATTTCCCACAAAATCAAGATTTAATGTTGTTTTAGGAGTTCATGAGAAGAAAAGTACATCGAAACAAGTAAGTTTTGGTGATCATTGTTGTCACGAAGCAATAAATTTCTAAATTGAGCCATAAGTGCAGTAAATTTGTAAAATGTAAATTTACATCTAAAATGTAAATTTCATCTTATAAAATCGGTTTGATTCTTATGAAGGCTGGTTTGCGTTTGAGTAATTTTGTATTTAAAACCTTGTCTCTTTAAACCAGTTCCCATGTTGAATAATAATTCCCAAAACAAAGTTCAATAATAAATTGTATTAAATAAATTAAATATTAAACGTTTAATATATTACATCATAATTATTAATTACTCATAAATTTCATTATACTATTATATTAAAATATATATAGGCTAATAATTGCACAGTGTGGAGTTCAAAGAACGAGATTCATTGTTCAACTATTAAGGTGGTCGATTATAAAAGTTAATGTGTTCTTTGCCAAATGTCAACAATTGTCGTGGGTAATGGATGTTCGGATATTAAACCACTACTGTAAGTAAAACTTATAAGATGTTGACATGCTCTAAAATTTACATCGCTTGACACGTGTCATACCATTAATAGGGAATTTGAAATTCGTTATTTTAGATGTACGATGGCCTTCTAACACCCGCAGTTTAATAACTGTACGTAATGTAATGAACGTTGTGAACACTGAACATGTCTTACCAAGTCCTTCCTTAAAACACTACTTATTTAACTTACAATAAAACCTGAGTTATTTCCTCAGAACTTATAAAAGTATTATATTATTATCTGTTGGGAAATGTACCGCATTCTCCACATACCACAGGTCAAACCAGACTGTAGACGGGAAATTAAGTTTGACTCACTGTGTCGTCATCCTTTTGTGTTTTGAGAATGTCTGATGCAATTGGAGCCAGGTTCAGTTGTATAGCTGCTTCTGTTATCTGAGAAAGCCATGTTTTAGGGAGCATTCCTAAAATTCCAATGAAATTAAAAATAGATTTCATAATAATAATTTCGGAATAATTGCATAAAGTTTAAGAACTATGTTAACAGTAAAAATAACCAAAAAAATTGATGAATTAAAATTAAAATTTTACTACCCCCATCTTACCTCCTCCCCGTGGTCGAGGAAAGCAGCTATAATATTCAGAACAAACCGCAACACAGTACCATCTGTACTGTATTTCAGGTATTCTACCAGTATCGGCAAACTCTTCAACTTTATCGCCTCTTTCTGGACCTGCAACATTTTAAAACCATGTTATTGGTTAAGAAGGTAACTTATCACAATGACGTGTACTTGAACCATTTATATCCTATAAAATCAAGGATAATTGATACCAGTGAATCAGATTGCAGGTAATTCCGTCAAGTGGGTAAAGATAATGTAGGATTAATAGAGGGATAATTCTTAACTCTATTTCAGTAGCCTATTATGGTATTTATTATAGTACTCCATTTTAAACAAAGAGTACGACGCAGGTGCACTGTATAATATTATATAATAATATCCCCTTGATTTGAGACTATCAGACTCACACGTAACACTGTACTACATTACTGGTTGAGCGAACAATACACCCACCACTATATTATGTCTAATTCGTGCTTTTGTTCTCAGGGAATATCCTCAACCCATACGGTCTTTGAGAATCAGGTTCAAAATATCACATTAATTACAACATGTATTAAATAACATGTGTAACATGTAAATAACATGTGTTGTGTAACATGTAAAGTAAATGACGCTGATGATCCCGGGATCATTTAAAGGATATAGGAAAAGCGCTATTGATTGATCCAGGTAAAGGACCTTTTAGGGCTTTTAGCCTGGATCTAACAATTGGCTCGGTGCCGATCCAGAACCCAATTCTTTCAAACTTAATTAATTGAACAAACCTCCTCGTGATCCATACAGATGGTATGCAGTGACCCGCACAACATGTAGTGTACATCATTTTGGGATGTAACAGTAGCTTCTTCTGGCATTAGCTGCAGAGAAGGATCTTTAGTATTATTTACTTTAATAGTAAGGTATTAGTAACTTTAGTAAAGTGTTTAGTAGTATTACAGTGGGTTACATTAATGATCCCAATTGTGCGGTGAATATATTGTTGATTTGTAACTGTGTGTAGGATTATACAGTGTAATTAAGAGGAAGTGTAAGGAATGTAATGGTTTTATTATTAATGAGGATTAGAGAGTACCTACTGTAAAGTTGTTACAGTATAATTAGCATTATAATGACTAACTATTATTGTATGAACAGTATTAATAGCTTTGTCATTGTTCAGCTACTGGCACAATTAAAGTACCATGATTTGATGTGCTCAGCATTGTAATGTTGTGGGGTTAATATCATAGAAGTGGTGGGATCACTGCGTCATAATATCATCACAGAAATATAACTATAATATCATTATACGGTATAGGTAAGGAAACATTAATACTCATTATGCTTCACTGTTACAATAAAGTAATGAACTAACAGGCCAGGGCCCAGGGTTACATGTTGCCAATAATGTAATACTTTGCTCTTATTTTACAAAGCAAGCATGATAAATTAAAATGAATCCCGCTTGAATAACCAATAAAGCAATAAGTCACAAGTCACATCGTGTGTACTTAAATATTTACTTATTGCACCTTCAAAACGGTTAAAGCCTAAATTCTAACAAACTAACGAAATATTCATATTTTAAATAATTATTTTCAAGTCATGACAGCAGGTTCAGATAAAAATAAATAAAAATAAAATGTTCAATCTAAAATTCGAATAATTTACCTCATTGAGCCTGTTGACGAGAGCATTGACTCCTCCCTCACTCAACACTATATCTCTACCTGATGTGCTTTCAAAGCATATGTTACCCATTGCTCGGCACGCCTGGCGGAGCACTCGTGGGGCACTGTTGTGCACCATTGCAACTAATGGTGGTATCACCTGGGTGGATGTAATGTTACTAAGACAACTAATAACCCCTCATATTCACCCACAAATCTGATTCACACTGATTGGATCTAATGTCTGATTTGTTTAAATGTCGTTTCAATTAATTGGCCTGAAAACTAAACACCCAGAAACCCATATAATCAGCACTTTTAAGTGTAGTTGTTTATAGTTAGGTCCTGTGCTGTGTATATTATTATTAACCATTGATAAGGTGCTACATAGAGTTCTGTGTGTTCAGACTCCCCACGGCCCACATGGGGATGGGGTGGACACCTGTGTCATTATCATACCATGTCAAAACAAACCATACATTATATCATCATTAGTTGTGTTCTTGACTTGAACTAATGATAACTAATAGCTTGGGAGTTCAATAGTTCTAGAGTTTAATGGGCTGATGACTTTACTTTTACTTTAAGAAAACTAATTGGTATTTCAACATTTTTGATGGGGGGGATACAACGGTCATTAATGTGCATTAATGGGCATTAATGTGCATTAATGTATTATATGTATATTTCAGCAAAATTCTATAATACTGACATTAATGACCGTTGTATGCCCCCCTTTTTGATAACGGTAAATGCTTAGTGCTTACTAACATCAGATATATAAAAACTCAAGTGTGACAATAACTTGTATAAAAAAGGACAAAATATTGCAAATGGACTCACAGCTTGTTGCACCATGATGATTCTATTATCCTCAGATTTTGCCATCTCTGCGATTATTTCAGCTGCCTGCTCAGCTCGACCCGAGGTCGTGCTGAGCAGTTCAGCTAGCCTCTCAATAATCCCATCTGTCAATAATTCTGAGCCTGCCTGCAATTAAATAAATAAATGACTGATAGTGTGTTATGTGTACACTGTAGAGTCGTCAATGAGATGATATTATGAGCAGTATAGAAATTTGACAATTATAAATGACACCTATTGTGAGTAAGTGATCTTCACTGATTGATGTCTTATTAAACAAAGTTAATATAATTCACTCCTTAGACATTTAAACAATTATACATAGAATAGACATCTAACTTAATTACTAGGCATGCAATATTTTGTGTTGCAGTATAATGCAGTAGCTGCCATAATAAGAAATCGATTAATATAGGACAAGATTATAATATTGTCTAATATAATATATTATATATTACTATTAGTAATATTATAATACAGTTGTAAAATAATCTTACATAATTTAGATGAATAAAAAGTGTATCTGAGAGAACAATAATTAATAAATATTATAGAATTTTCAAACCTCAACTTCTATTGAGACAGTCTGCAATAGAGTAGATAAATGCTGGTCAATAATAGAAGGTCTTCTTAGTAACTGGTTATGCGTTTGAGGGTCGGGCATGCCCTAGATAAAACTTCAATTAGTTCATAAAAATGTCATGCATGATTTACAAATTTATTCGGCCTGCCAATATGGTAAAAGCTACCCAAATCACGATTTTGTAGTACACCATAATCAATACACAGTAAGTTCGAATATTCGTGTTACAATTTTAAAGAAGAAGTAATTGCATAAGTAACACTGCCAAATTTCAGTGTATGCCTGGATCATGAAACCCAATGTCTCAGATACTGCCTCTACTTAAGGACCTATAAGGCAGTACTGAATAAACTGGATCAATTCTTTCACTTTTATCACTGAACTTGATCTTGTTGGTTACTAGTGATGTAGAATACTATCCATGAAGTCTGCTAAGAATGCACAATAACCTGACCACATAGTGTCATGAGCTACTTTGAGGGCAAGGTGGCCTCCTGGTTAGAGCTTCCGCCTTCTGTTCGGAATAATAGGAAACTAGATTGAGGGTTAAATGAGGAGGGGAACCTCTTATATTGAGGAGCTATGGAGTAAAACTGTTATCACGTTTTCAACCAGTGAGCCAAAATTAAATTGCTTAGCGTTAGGATCCAATTTTTGAATAGAATTTTGCAGAGGCGGCTATTGAGGGCGTCCAGGCGTCCGTGGACACCAATCTGGTGTCTGGTGCTTAAAAATAGAAATAGTGATTAGTAATAGTGTTCGGAAATATCTTATCGCAATATAAAGCTTTTTATTCACTCAAACGTTCGAATGAAAGCGCACGCATGATCTTTGTGAAATTTTGTGCTGTTGGTTGTCCAATCCTGACTGCCTCTGGAATTTTGGGATGACATTCGTTTGTCCACAATACTGAGAGACCAAGGTCATTAAGTAAAAGCGTTGAGTTGCTTTCCTTGGACTTTGTTGGATAGGAGTTTGGCGATGACCAGAATCAAATTCACCTTCCGAAGCAAGAAATTAAGTCAGTAAAACAAAAATTTTCAGTTAAACAAAAATTTCAATTTTACGCCATTTATTACAGAGTAAACAAGTTTACAATAAATCAATTTCATATTTAAAGGAATCCTAATTCAATGTGTAGTATGGTTTTCACTCTTTAAATAGATTAGATATAGGTTGACGGGGCAAAGGAGTGTACGTGCTGTTCGCTATTGCTCACACCAAACGGCAACCTAGTAAATGTTTTGTATGGACACCGGTCTCCATCATGATACAAAATTAGGATTGTAGAATTTATTGTATAACTTTTAGTGCAGTGGAGGTAGTGGTGGTGTATTAATAGAGTGACAGCCTTCTGATTAAGAGTTGTTTTTAAGTGAGCATAATGGGTTTATTTTTGGACCTAAAGGCTTTAGTATGGTAACTTTAAAATTGGTTCTTTTAATCATTTATTAAATATATCAGTTTAAAAATATATAAATCTGGAATCTGTTCACACTGTGAACCTGTCCTATAAAAAGACCCTCTCAAATTAAATATTAAAATTGTTTCAATAATGGAAATAGTCATACAATTAAGAAATTTAACAAATTCTTAATATCTACCTAAGAGAAAAATACCTACCTTAGTCAATGTCTACCTGTAATACACTAAATATTAGGTTAAATACATAAGTGGTGGAGTCAGCACACATTTACCAAAATCAAAATTTTTTAATAGGAGGAACCTGTAGGCCGAGAACACTGGATTAAATTTGTTGAAGGGGATTGAGTTACCTCATCGAGTAAATTTGGTAGGGTGGAGAGTTTTTTACTAGCTAGGTCAGTGATGTTTTGGGGATGGAAGTTAAATTTGTCCCTAACTATGAGGTAGAGCGAACAGTCAACTAGGACATGATTTTCGTCCTCACTAGGTTTAAGACATATCCTGAAGAAGTAGTTATTGCACCATCGATCTTCTCTTGGTACTCTTTGAAATGGGTTCCATATTGACCCCTATCAATGTTGTAAAGGTTTGATATGGTGTTGTGGCAATTAATACGAATTGAATGGAAGCCATGTTAAGGGTTTTCGAACACCAGGGATTTTGATCACTCGTAGATATGTTTCTAGTTAAAAAAGATTGATTAGATTTTAGAAGATGAGTGGGGGAAGTTATTTGTTATATTTTATAAAAAGCTTGTTTGCAGGCTTCAAAGAACAATAGGTCAACGGTTATTTTAATAAGCGTTTTTCAATGATAGAAATAAATATTGATAAATCATATTGCAACCGATATGTTTTTTTTTATTAAATTTATTATGAAATTATAACTGCAGAAACAAAATTAAAAATTGAAATTTTTTACGTAAATATCAAAACTTTGTCCAAAATTTGTCCAAATTTGTTCAAAATTTGTTCAAGTATTATGAAAATACAACATTGATGATGAGTTGTGATGTATGATGTAACTTGCCGCGCTACACTAGCAACTTAAAACCTAATATAACAACAATTCGAACCTAGGATCAAATATTAATACAAATTACGTTAAAAAAATTTTATAATTTTAAAACTTTTGATTTTTATGCTTTTTACCTGAGGACTAGGCTATTATGTTCATAAACATAGCCTGGCCTGGCGTAATTATACCCTCTAAAACGCGCAAGCAAGCACGTTTATGCGATTTTAAAGTCAAATAATCAGATTTTACTTAATTGACGATGTCAATTCATGGCAGCTCGGCGCGGCACAGTAGCGCATCGCGCTACAAGATTTTACAATCTAACTCAGCGCGCGGCTCTTGTAGCGTATACGTCACCTTTTTCCAATTAAATTGGTAATTGGAGTGCACGTGATTTTTTACCTGGCCAGGCCTGGGGACCTCAGGCTATCATGTTCATAAACCGAATAGAGATTCGGCGGAATTGGGAATGACAGGCTGAGCGCGGCCCAGTAAGATTTCTTGCGCGGCTGTAATTGGTTCTAAACGATCGTGTGAATGCTGGTCCGGTCATGTGCGCTTTAACATTTAATGATCAGCATCCGCACTATTTTCAGGGCGATGGAAGTCGTAATTCACTCAGCTCCTAAATAGAAATTCGGTGGAATGACAGGCTGAGCGCCGCCCAGTAATGCTTTTATGCTACTAACTTAAAATTGAAAATAAATGTTCAATCGTTCGCGTAATACTTTGCGTATTCACATAGCCATGTGTATACGCGTCCTGCGTGACGCGCTTGTTTCACAAGTAGAATATATCCCTTCGGCGGTTGCGCGCTACTGCAAGCGAGAGGGCTCTGGTTAGAGCAACTTTGCGTACTACTTTTTTAAAACATTGTTTGTATACCATTTATTGATGAAAAGCTATAATATTTAATAAGCAAAGCTAAGGGCCCAGGAACCCTGACCGGATGGGGCTTAACTTTGAAAGTAAAAGAGTTGGAGACTTCCGGTTTTTTGTAACATGTTCCTTTTTTAAAAGTAACGTTACCTCTCCAGGAGGAAAATTCAAGACAACGTAATTGTTATGTTGAGTTATATCAAAATCTCCAGAAAAGTCCCATTTCGGGCCGATCAAAAGTTTGCAACTTTAACTTTGCGGATTCCTGTACTCTGGTTGGCTGAATTGTGTCACGTGGTAGCTGCCTGAACATTGGAATACGCCACGCGTGCAAATCATGCTTGTTGTCGCGCGCGAGGTCAAGCCGTCTGTTTAAATTAAACCAACTCTAGTACCACCACCAGCCGGTAACTTTTCATGGGTACGAAGTAACCAATTAGGGCTATTAAATGCCGAACACAAGGATATTTCGTATTCGGATCATATGCCTGCAGGCTGTCTGTCGCTTAAGACCATGGTCGCTCTTAACTGAGCGATAAATGACGTTAAGCATTAAGTGAGACCGTGAGCACCACTTCTTGCCAATTTGCTTTTGAACTACGGCCCAATCATGAAGTTAAACAGTTCAAGTTGTGTTTTAACGGCAAAATACAGCAAATTCTAGCCCTTGAAAGTTGTAGGTTTGGAAGATCAATACGGCTGCTTTAATTCTTAAAAGTCTTAAGTTAGAACGGCCAAAACACCCTATTCGGTGTCAGCCAGCTGCACCCAGGAACCCTGACCGGATGGGACTTAACTTTAAGTAGAACAAAATTTTAAGTAAAACAAAATTTAAATTTTATTGCCATTACAATGAATAATGATATCATAATAAATATAAGTAGACATCCGATAATAAACTTGTTACATCCAGTACAACCCAAGATGTCAGTCGACGCGACTTACAAAAATAAAGAAAGCTAGCATGTTATGTTCATTGTTCATAGTTTTTCTAACGAGTATGCTTAGCACTTAGGTTACCTGAGGACCCCAGGCTATTATGTTCATAACCGAATATAGATTTGGCGGAATGACAGGCTGAGCGCGGCCCAGTAACACTTAGGCTGTACGGAAATAGCTTTAATTCTACGTCATATTAAAAACTTTACATCATTTTTGAGATACAAAAATAAATTTTAAAATAAATAACTCTTTTGCTGTTTAGGCGCGGCACCGCGCTTGACCCACATGCTATACAGTGTATACACAGCGCTGAAAACAGAAGCTGAATGAGCTATAACATATAACATGTATAAGCGGTGCGTGCGCCGCGCCTAAACCTAAAACTATAAACTTTAAATATTGTCAAGATATTAAACGAGTTTTGCAAAATAATATAGCATGCTGACTTCGTAGGATATTACAATTATACCAGTGCCAGTTCCAAATGTGAGTCAGCGCTTAAACCAAAAGCAGTTGGCAAAAGGAGCCAGTTGCCTGCAAGAGCTTTACTAGCACCCGATTTACCACTTTTGGAGCACAAACTCAAACCTAAAACCGGCCAAGCACAAAAATATGTTATCGCCACGATTGGGTGGATTGATTCCCAGAATATTTATCAGCACGCGGCACTAATAATATATGAAGTTCATTATCGAATTTTAGATATGCCCTGGATCGTTTAACACATATATAAAAGGTTATTAAAGAATAATTAATGTTTGGTTCGTATATAAATCGATATTAATCAATTATTTAAAATAGTATTTGTGTTTCTTATTATTAACTATTGAGTTGCGTTCGATTTAAATATTAAAACACTACTACAATACATTTCACAGAACAAAACGACGGGGACACAGAAAAGAGAAGGACAACACATCACACGTAAGGAAACTGCTGCTGTTGACGAGTATCTGATTATATTAATTATGGGTCTTTTGTTCATTAAAATAAGTGTGATCATACTTCTAGAGTATATTGGGCTGACACAGTTGCTGCAAGGTTAACATTGGGGTCCAAAACCAAAACCGGGAGTGTGATACAACTTAATTTCGCGTTACACTTACGTAGTAAGAGATACAAAATATAAAATATAAGTCACTGTAGGTTCACGGATATAGCGCGGCTTCATTTCAGTATTCTGGCGCGGTAAATCACGCTGGGTAATGAAATGATAGAGTTATACAATATTTAAGTTTCGCGCGCTACGTTTACACAATATATTTGTGAGTTCGTCCCACGTTCCAGACGAACACTCCAGACAAGTCCAGACACTAGTGTAAAGCGGATGAGCTGATCAGTGTTCTGTGTTATATGTGTGAATATATAGTTTCTATGTTTGACTGTGGTGTGTATTGTGTGTGTTATTTTGTGTGTGTATTCTGGGTAAAATTATCTTTATCCCGGTTGTTGCGACAAGTAAAAATGCTCTTATTAGGGAAAGGAGATTACTCGACGTTTCAATGTAACTACATCGTATTCATGATCTAAAAACAAGTGTTAAAAATTCAAAACGTAAAAAACATATATCTGAGGCAAAATTTGTGTACATTAATTTATTTTTAATCAATCAACTTTATCCAAAAATTCGATACAAAAAAGTCATAACAAAATTCATAACAAAACTAATTTATACGACGACAAACTTTTATAGTAAATACTGTACATTCCTAAAACTACTACTAAATATACTACACATGATACAGAAGCATGGAGTGCTACAACGGTGAACAGGTGCATGATGTGAAGTGTGTAGGTATGTATCTAGTGTGGAGTGAAAATGGCGGGAATCGTACTGACCAATGAGAAGTGTGAAACGTGGGAGCCTAATATGGTTTGATTGATGTTGTAAGGGTAGTGTGTTGAATAGGAGGCGGAAGTGTGCGTGTGTGAGATGTGGTCCCTGTACTCAGAAAGTAAACAAAACCTATAAATATCACTAAAAATCACTACATATGTGTAGACAATCCCCTGTCTGTAAAGTATAAAATATGTTACACCCTGTTTATTATGTACTTGTTACTAAAAAACGTTTGATTGTTTCTAACTCATCTCTCTTGTTAATGTTAGGTTTGAACTTCAAAATAAGCATTGCTTCTGCAATCTTTCTTCTAGCTGTGTTGCTTTCTGTTTTTAAAATCTCAAATTCTAAATTGGGTTCTGACCCCCTATGTAAACTGTTATAATGAATAGCAAAAGCTTGACTAGTGTTAGAAGGAGTTAAAGGAAATTTAGCATATCTTAGGTGCTCTCCGAGCCTATCATGTGCCCTCCTGCACGTCTCACCAATATAAATATTATTACAGATTTTACAGGTAATCTTATACACAACGTTCTTCACCTCACAATCTTTATTTTCAGTTATTAATAAAGGACAAATTTTACAGGAGTTAATAATACAGGTTCTCTTATCATACGGTCTGTTATTACACACAATATTTCTTAGTTTTCTAGCTGGGGAAAATATAACTTTAATAGGTAAATTGTTCTGTTTAATATGATTCCTAATTCTGTTACTGATACTGTCTGAGATAAAATCTAACTTAAGCACTGTTCTGTTATCCTCCCTATTTCTATTACTAATACTACTACGACGTCTGTTGGAATAATTTCTGGGTGTTTGATACCCGTTTCTAGTCATAAGACGGTCTAAAATGCTGTATGAATGTTCTCTCTCCTGAGGTCCTGACGAGATCTTGTCCGCTTCTTTATACAGGTTGATCACGGTGTTCGTCTTCACAGATTCTGGGTGACATGAATTCTTGTGAAGTGTGATGTCTTTCTGCTGTGGCTTACGGTACAAGCGGCTCGTCACAGTTCCATCAGGTTCCACTCTAAGCTCTGTGTTAAGGAATGGGATGAACTCTTGGTCGTTCTCCGGAAACTCTACCTCCCACTTGAGTTTCTTGTCAGGGTCCTGGTCTGCGATACTCTGAACAAGTGCTAGAGCTTCTTCTCTTGTTACAGCTGTGCTGGTGGCGTCGTCAATGTACCGCTTGTAGAAGTCAGATAAGTAGACCGACAAGTAATGTAAGTCAGTGTAAACCGAGCTTCTCTCAAACTTGTACACTCTGATCACTGCGCAAAATGGTCCCGGTCTCAATCCCATGAAAAGGCCATCCTGCTGTATCCACAGAGTCCCATTATACACAAAGTATGAACTAGTCAGGATGTGCAATAGGATCTCGTGAACATCAGTCAGGTTCAGTCCCATGAGATCAAGTTTTTCCCGGTGCTCAGTGGCCAGTTCTATAACGTCATCAATACAACCTTGGACATTTATGTTGGTATAAAGTGCTGAAATGTCCGCCGAGAAGATTCTCCTGCCAGCTAGCTGTTCTTTCGGAATTGCACGAAGAGTTTCCAGATGTTCAAAGAGATTACCAAGGTGACTGGGTATTTCCTTCAGTAATGGTTTGAGGATGGTTGTCACCAGCCAGCTCAATCTCTCTGTGGGTGAGTCAACACAGCTGATAATGGGTCGTACTTTCACCTGTTCCAGAGGGATGGTGTTTCTGAAACATTCTGGAGAATTCTTGTGAGTCTTGATAAGTACATATAAGACTGGAAGAGAAACATGATCCGGAACTCTGATTTGTCTGAAATAATCATCATCGAGCCCTCGCTGTGTCCATACTTTCTTCCACAATTGATTGGAGCTATCTACCAGTTGAGTGGTCATTCTTTTTATGAGTTGTGAATTCTGGATGGAGGTGGGTTCCGTAACTGTCACTGTCTGACCTCGTACCTTCCTAGTTGGGAGTATCTGCAGGTAAACTGCAGTTTCCTCTAGGTGTTTCTCCGTCAGCGTTCTATGAATATCCTTGGTGGTAACTACGAACTCTCCACACTTGTCTGAAACTGAGACATGTATAGTTCTATCCGTTCTTAGTGAATATAAGCCTTGTTTCTGTGAGCGAGTAAGGTTGTCTTTTGACTGATGGTTATTCACTAAGTTCAGGACAAAACGGTTGAAACATGCGAGTTTATCCTCAAGTTCAGGGCAAGCGGGGTCAGGGGTTCGGGTGAAGGGTGTGGGGAAGGGACAAATCCTCTTGATCTTCTTCGAGGTAGGCTCTTCTGCTTCTTCTGCTTCTTCATGATGTTCTGGAGTATTATTAGGCTGTTCTTCTGAATCCATAGACTGTTCTACTGGTTGTTGTTCAAATGCTTGCTTATGTCTGATCTTAAACACGCATTGTGCAATGTCCATGGAAACTTTGTCCTTGAACTCCTGATTAACATGTGGTGTTACTGCAAAATTAGGCCCAAGTGCAAGAACAGATTTCTGGTTATCTGAAACTGAATCACAGTTGAGTGTAGTCACGCGATCTGCTGCAGGTTGAATAACTGTCGGTGGAGTAGGGGGCGGTGGTGGATAATATTTACTGAGTAGCCAAGTAAACTTGTTCTGCAGGTTCATCTTATACTGTTCTTTAATAGAAATCTGGTTTCTTTCTGATATGGCTATAATTCTATGAAAAACGTGTTGTTCAACTGTATTGTATAGAGTGTTCTTGAACTGTGCAATATGAAGTTTACTGTCTGCGATAATCTGATACTGATAAGAAATATGTTGATTTAATGCTACTGTTCTGAGTCTGTTCCGATGATGTTGTATATTCCTAGATTGACAGATGGGAAATAATGACTGTTGATGTGAAAAACTGTTCAAAATGAAGACTGGAAAAACTTGTCGTCGTTTACATCGTTTTAAGAAATTTAGTTTCTGTTCTGCGATTTTCAACTTTTCTCCAGCTGCAAGAAATGATTTCGCCGTTCCAGAATCTGTGAAGACGAACACCGTGATCAACCTGTATAAAGAAGCGGACAAGATCTCGTCAGGACCTCAGGAGAGAGAACATTCATACAGCATTTTAGACCGTCTTATGACTAGAAACGGGTATCAAACACCCAGAAATTATTCCAACAGACGTCGTAGTAGTATTAGTAATAGAAATAGGGAGGATAACAGAACAGTGCTTAAGTTAGATTTTATCTCAGACAGTATCAGTAACAGAATTAGGAATCATATTAAACAGAACAATTTACCTATTAAAGTTATATTTTCCCCAGCTAGAAAACTAAGAAATATTGTGTGTAATAACAGACCGTATGATAAGAGAACCTGTATTATTAACTCCTGTAAAATTTGTCCTTTATTAATAACTGAAAATAAAGATTGTGAGGTGAAGAACGTTGTGTATAAGATTACCTGTAAAATCTGTAATAATATTTATATTGGTGAGACGTGCAGGAGGGCACATGATAGGCTCGGAGAGCACCTAAGATATGCTAAATTTCCTTTAACTCCTTCTAACACTAGTCAAGCTTTTGCTATTCATTATAACAGTTTACATAGGGGGTCAGAACCCAATTTAGAATTTGAGATTTTAAAAACAGAAAGCAACACAGCTAGAAGAAAGATTGCAGAAGCAATGCTTATTTTGAAGTTCAAACCTAACATTAACAAGAGAGATGAGTTAGAAACAATCAAACGTTTTTTAGTAACAAGTACATAATAAACAGGGTGTAACATATTTTATACTTTACAGACAGGGGATTGTCTACACATATGTAGTGATTTTTAGTGATATTTATAGGTTTTGTTTACTTTCTGAGTACAGGGACCACATCTCACACACGCACACTTCCGCCTCCTATTCAACACACTACCCTTACAACATCAATCAAACCATATTAGGCTCCCACGTTTCACACTTCTCATTGGTCAGTACGATTCCCGCCATTTTCACTCCACACTAGATACATACCTACACACTTCACATCATGCACCTGTTCACCGTTGTAGCACTCCATGCTTCTGTATCATGTGTAGTATATTTAGTAGTAGTTTTAGGAATGTACAGTATTTACTATAAAAGTTTGTCGTCGTATAAATTAGTTTTGTTATGAATTTTGTTATGACTTTTTTGTATCGAATTTTTGGATAAAGTTGATTGATTAAAAATAAATTAATGTACACAAATTTTGCCTCAGATATATGTTTTTTACGTTTTGAATTTTTAACACTTGTTTTTAGATCATGAATACGATGTAGTTACATTGAAACGTCGAGTAATCTCCTTTCCCTAATAAGAGCATTTTTACTTGTCGCAACAACCGGGATAAAGATAATTTTACCCAGAATACATTACAACAATGCGACTCATAAATAATACTCCAATCCGGATTTTACATGAACTTATTCAGTCCCGAGAAACTTTTGGAACGGCGAAATCATTTCTTGCAGCTGGAGAAAAGTTGAAAATCGCAGAACAGAAACTAAATTTCTTAAAACGATGTAAACGACGACAAGTTTTTCCAGTCTTCATTTTGAACAGTTTTTCACATCAACAGTCATTATTTCCCATCTGTCAATCTAGGAATATACAACATCATCGGAACAGACTCAGAACAGTAGCATTAAATCAACATATTTCTTATCAGTATCAGATTATCGCAGACAGTAAACTTCATATTGCACAGTTCAAGAACACTCTATACAATACAGTTGAACAACACGTTTTTCATAGAATTATAGCCATATCAGAAAGAAACCAGATTTCTATTAAAGAACAGTATAAGATGAACCTGCAGAACAAGTTTACTTGGCTACTCAGTAAATATTATCCACCACCGCCCCCTACTCCACCGACAGTTATTCAACCTGCAGCAGATCGCGTGACTACACTCAACTGTGATTCAGTTTCAGATAACCAGAAATCTGTTCTTGCACTTGGGCCTAATTTTGCAGTAACACCACATGTTAATCAGGAGTTCAAGGACAAAGTTTCCATGGACATTGCACAATGCGTGTTTAAGATCAGACATAAGCAAGCATTTGAACAACAACCAGTAGAACAGTCTATGGATTCAGAAGAACAGCCTAATAATACTCCAGAACATCATGAAGAAGCAGAAGAAGCAGAAGAGCCTACCTCGAAGAAGATCAAGAGGATTTGTCCCTTCCCCACACCCTTCACCCGAACCCCTGACCCCGCTTGCCCTGAACTTGAGGATAAACTCGCATGTTTCAACCGTTTTGTCCTGAACTTAGTGAATAACCATCAGTCAAAAGACAACCTTACTCGCTCACAGAAACAAGGCTTATATTCACTAAGAACGGATAGAACTATACATGTCTCAGTTTCAGACAAGTGTGGAGAGTTCGTAGTTACCACCAAGGATATTCATAGAACGCTGACGGAGAAACACCTAGAGGAAACTGCAGTTTACCTGCAGATACTCCCAACTAGGAAGGTACGAGGTCAGACAGTGACAGTTACGGAACCCACCTCCATCCAGAATTCACAACTCATAAAAAGAATGACCACTCAACTGGTAGATAGCTCCAATCAATTGTGGAAGAAAGTATGGACACAGCGAGGGCTCGATGATGATTATTTCAGACAAATCAGAGTTCCGGATCATGTTTCTCTTCCAGTCTTATATGTACTTATCAAGACTCACAAGAATTCTCCAGAATGTTTCAGAAACACCATCCCTCTGGAACAGGTGAAAGTACGACCCATTATCAGCTGTGTTGACTCACCCACAGAGAGATTGAGCTGGCTGGTGACAACCATCCTCAAACCATTACTGAAGGAAATACCCAGTCACCTTGGTAATCTCTTTGAACATCTGGAAACTCTTCGTGCAATTCCGAAAGAACAGCTAGCTGGCAGGAGAATCTTCTCGGCGGACATTTCAGCACTTTATACCAACATAAATGTCCAAGGTTGTATTGATGACGTTATAGAACTGGCCACTGAGCACCGGGAAAAACTTGATCTCATGGGACTGAACCTGACTGATGTTCACGAGATCCTATTGCACATCCTGACTAGTTCATACTTTGTGTATAATGGGACTCTGTGGATACAGCAGGATGGCCTTTTCATGGGATTGAGACCGGGACCATTTTGCGCAGTGATCAGAGTGTACAAGTTTGAGAGAAGCTCGGTTTACACTGACTTACATTACTTGTCGGTCTACTTATCTGACTTCTACAAGCGGTACATTGACGACGCCACCAGCACAGCTGTAACAAGAGAAGAAGCTCTAGCACTTGTTCAGAGTATCGCAGACCAGGACCCTGACAAGAAACTCAAGTGGGAGGTAGAGTTTCCGGAGAACGACCAAGAGTTCATCCCATTCCTTAACACAGAGCTTAGAGTGGAACCTGATGGAACTGTGACGAGCCGCTTGTACCGTAAGCCACAGCAGAAAGACATCACACTTCACAAGAATTCATGTCACCCAGAATCTGTGAAGACGAACACCGTGATCAACCTGTATAAAGAAGCGGACAAGATCTCGTCAGGACCTCAGGAGAGAGAACATTCATACAGCATTTTAGACCGTCTTATGACTAGAAACGGGTATCAAACACCCAGAAATTATTCCAACAGACGTCGTAGTAGTATTAGTAATAGAAATAGGGAGGATAACAGAACAGTGCTTAAGTTAGATTTTATCTCAGACAGTATCAGTAACAGAATTAGGAATCATATTAAACAGAACAATTTACCTATTAAAGTTATATTTTCCCCAGCTAGAAAACTAAGAAATATTGTGTGTAATAACAGACCGTATGATAAGAGAACCTGTATTATTAACTCCTGTAAAATTTGTCCTTTATTAATAACTGAAAATAAAGATTGTGAGGTGAAGAACGTTGTGTATAAGATTACCTGTAAAATCTGTAATAATATTTATATTGGTGAGACGTGCAGGAGGGCACATGATAGGCTCGGAGAGCACCTAAGATATGCTAAATTTCCTTTAACTCCTTCTAACACTAGTCAAGCTTTTGCTATTCATTATAACAGTTTACATAGGGGGTCAGAACCCAATTTAGAATTTGAGATTTTAAAAACAGAAAGCAACACAGCTAGAAGAAAGATTGCAGAAGCAATGCTTATTTTGAAGTTCAAACCTAACATTAACAAGAGAGATGAGTTAGAAACAATCAAACGTTTTTTAGTAACAAGTACATAATAAACAGGGTGTAACATATTTTATACTTTACAGACAGGGGATTGTCTACACATATGTAGTGATTTTTAGTGATATTTATAGGTTTTGTTTACTTTCTGAGTACAGGGACCACATCTCACACACGCACACTTCCGCCTCCTATTCAACACACTACCCTTACAACATCAATCAAACCATATTAGGCTCCCACGTTTCACACTTCTCATTGGTCAGTACGATTCCCGCCATTTTCACTCCACACTAGATACATACCTACACACTTCACATCATGCACCTGTTCACCGTTGTAGCACTCCATGCTTCTGTATCATGTGTAGTATATTTAGTAGTAGTTTTAGGAATGTACAGTATTTACTATAAAAGTTTGTCGTCGTATAAATTAGTTTTGTTATGAATTTTGTTATGACTTTTTTGTATCGA